GCTTCTGCCATAATATTATCAGCTTGAGCTGGTGTACGTGGTGTACGAGCTGTTTGAGCATGCTGAAGTGTAGAATATTCTCCTAATAAACCTTGACTAGCTCCTTCACCACCTTCTTCTACTAGATTCTTAGCTGTCTCTCCTGCTTGACCAATCTTTACAATATCTTCTAATTCTAGTTCTCCTACTTGAGGTTCAGGTAACATTAATTTCCTTCTTTTTAAAATATTAGCTTCTTCTTTCTGACGTTGAATCAAATTATCTTTAGCTGGAATGAAATGTGATGAAGCATCTTGATCGGCTGCTGTTTCTTTCGCCTTACGTGATCGTTTTCTTCTTTCTTCTTCATCTTCTGCTCTTGTTCTTTTATGTGAATCTAATTGTCTCAAGTTCTTACCGACTGGTGCTGCTACAAATTTGTTTTTTTCTTGTGTGGTATCGTAAAAACCTGGTGCTGGTTGTTTTTCAAATGGAATATCTGCATTATAGTCCATTCCATCTTTCTTGGGTCGCATTCGCATCCTTCAAACACACAAAAAGAGTTACAGACATGAGTACATCGATCATCTCGATCAAGACACATACCAGCGTCGACTCACATAATTCCGGCTGCTTTTAATTCCCTCTTCTTCTGTAACATAGCCAATCGTCGCGCTTCTTCTAATTGACGTTCTCGTGCCTTACGCTTAGCTTTCTTTCCTTGAGTATTAGCCAATCTAGCTCGAGCCTCTGATAACATTTCCTTCTCTATTGATCAATCCAATAAAAAGACAAATGTTTGTGAATTCCTGAATCGATCGATCAAACAAGACGTTTTGAAACTTACCATCTTCATCCATATCGATCGGATCAGGTCTAGCAGGTTTAGCTTCCGGATCAGGATCTACTTCACCAGGTCTAAGTCTTCTAACATCATCAGCACTCGGACCAGCTTCAGCTCCTGTACCCGTCAAACCAAGTTCATCACCACCTTCAACTGTATCACGTTGTTCAGCTTCATCTAATAATCTTTGATACCTTTCTAAACATTGATTGGCCGTTCTACCTACAATTGGTGCAATCGTACGCCATTGAGTTGGCATTAATTTAGCTAAATGTAATAGTTTTTCATCTTCTTCTTTAGACCATTCAGCTATCAGTCAAAAATTTAGAAAAGGAGTGATTAATTTTGATTATTTGTTTGTTTTGCATAAAAATTTTTGGGAATCATTCAAGTTTTTGAAATCAATCGATCACTTACTTTTCTTAATTGATGGATCTAACCATTCATACCAACGAGCTTTACATTGTTTTGGAGTTTTTCTAACTAATAAAGAAGAGATTCTAGCCCATTGATTTTTTCCATATCTAATTCATGAAAAATTTAAGAAAAAAAGCACGATCCAAGGATCATGGGGAGGAAAGGAGGGGGGGGGAAATGAAGTTAATCAGTTATGAATGAAACGAAAAGATAAAGAAAACAAAAAGGATGATCACTTTGAGATAGCTGCTTTTAAGATTTCATCTTCTGTGTTACGCCAAACACCACCTTTGATGATGATTCTCATCTTTTTTTGATGCTCGGATTGGGATTAAAATTATCGATTGGTTTCGAGGTGTTTGATTTTGATTTGATGGAATAGTTATTTAACAAGTTGAGTTGGATTTGAGATCAGGCTCACTGGACCACAGTGATACAACACGGGTACAAACCCGAGAAGAAGGCTGAACAGGGTCGGGTCATGTAATCAGACAGTCTGTAGCTCATGCTCAGCCAAAAATCACATCCTCCCTTTGCACTATGTATTAACTTTTTCAAGGATGCCAACAATTTCAAAGAGTTTTGGAGATTGTTGACCTTATCAGTTTCTATAACTGAATTCCATATCTATAATCCCGGAAAACGACAACTGGCAATTCTCCATTTCAATTCATCACAACATTTCTGATGCTTTGGCTCTCTTTGGCTGCCACTGTGGTAGAACTAAAGCATTGGGCGGGCCAACCCGCCTTGAGGTTAAATAAGGCTATACCTTACATCAAATTCAGCGTTATAATTCTTGAAGCGTAGCGTAGCTGAACCCTTTTCACAATCATTGAGTTTTGCAACTTAACCTATGTATGAATAATCTGGATTAAAAGATGTTCAATTCGAAAGGATTGTAAGGATTCTTTTGGAAACCTTACAAAATTCAAAATCCAAAGACCATTTTCACTGGTTGATAGCTTTGTTCTATCTCTATCTATGTATGTAGTACAGTCAAACCGGAAAAGCTTGACCGATTTTGCCCGCAAAACTCGAGCAAATTGGCGGGGAATTGGTGGCAAGCTTTTCCGGTTTGACTGTATCATGATATGAAACGCAAACACCAGGTCCACATTTTCTCTTCATCAAGAATAATTTCTTACAAAATGGATGGTTTCCTTCATTTTCTTCATTTTTTACTGTACTTGAGCTAGACATCAAGAAACAAAGGCGCAGTTACTAATTCCCTGCACGTTAGCTGTTTGAGCCTTTAACCTCATCCAAGTCCGACTCCCATGCAGTGGCTGTTGCTTGCGCCAGAAATAAGTACTGTCGTTCCCAAAAAGCTTCGCTGTCTTCTCTTGTCAGATTCTGACAGCGCGCACAGACCGCCAGTAAAATCCATTTGAATGTTCAAACGTTCGATACACCACGGGTCAGCGCTGATATCAATTCGATGTCATCTGGCCCGATGTCAATTTGATATCGATTCGATCTCGATTCGATATACAAATATTTGATATCAATTTCATCTCGGTCCGATAGGACCCCGGAAAGCTCCTGGAGAACAAACCGTCCTCAATCCATTCCGGCCCCGGCCCTCACACTTTCACTATTTGCCCCGAGGAGAGGTGGGTTAACATGGATTTCTCGGTGGTAGGAGAAGCGCCTTGATCAGGGCTCTCGATTACATATACTTTCAGTTTTGTACCACGTGTAATCACCGAGATATCCGTATGTAAGTACCCGACCCGAGCCGGTATGGATTTTCGTCGGTCTGGGGGGGCAAAAGTTACAAATCACACATTTCCCAAGCCACCAGTCATGTTCAGGGTCAGACATGTGTACCATCTGATAGCCCTCGTTGAGGCGCATCTTTTGCACCTGTCACATCTCTGGTACCATGTGACATGACTTCACAAAACACCGGTATCCGAAAACCCCCTCAGGACGGTTTGTTCTCCAGGAGCTTTCCAGGGTCCTGGTCCGATATCATAATGATATCAGAACCGTTTGGTTCCGTGGCAGATTGACAGGCCCTGAGACCTTGACTAATTCAATCAAATCAATTGATTTGAGTTGAGGATTGGGGCCCTTCAAAAGGCGGACTCCACACCGAGACTGACAAAAAAGGTGCGAGTTGAGGATTCGAACACACCATGCCATCAATGGCCTTGCATGACACGCACTTGCCATCAGTCTACCCGATACACCAATTGATCAAGTGATTGCTGTGACCCCTTGGACGTATAGATACTGGTCTTTTGTACTTCTGGCTAAGAAGACCGATAAATCTCTGATATGTCTTTGCACTTGAAGTTAAGTTGGCGTTGCGTAAGGTGAAGTTTGAAGCTAATTCACGAGAGTAGTAGAATAGATTGGGAAGCGTTTCAAGTGGTGGTAAAGTGAGGATCAAAATGTCGCCAGGGATCTTATTGACTTCCTGATTTTTTCGAATCATAGACACTTGACTGATCATCAGAGCCGCGACCAGAGCTCTGTTGGCTGGCTGTCAGCGGAGGCTAATCATCTGGTCTGCGATATCGAAGTGATCTCAACTCGATATCAATCCGATATCAAAAATTTGTATATCGGATCGATATCGAGCCTGTCAAGAAGTTGACCCGTGGTGTAGCACGCCATTATTCTACCAGCGTGTTCTCGGACAAATAACCGTGAGAGCGAGGCTGAATGCAGATGCCTCGCTTGTCACGGATATACACTGTCGCGTGTATCGGATGCACCAATACCCGGAGAGTCATACTCCGGGTAATTCCCTAGACCCCGGGTGATTCCTATACCCCGGGGTATCCCCGGGGAGAATACACCCGATATTGGAATAGACATCAGTAGTTGTGCGCGGATGATGATCGCTGGTGCATTGCATTAGCTACGAAGAGAAGCGAAATGGGATGTACAACCTCGTCGTTCGTGAAGGCAAGCAAAGCGCCGGTGAAGGATGATAATAGGAAATTGAGTAAAAGAAAAACAGAAATCTATGCATCGATGAAAAAAACTAATTATGATGTGGAAAGACAAAGTCGAGAATACATCGATTTAGACAGTGATTTACAAGTGCAAGATTTGGCCGAATCGCCATTGGGAAGGCAGTTAGTCATTAGTAATTGCTAGGCATGGTCCGGAGAGATGGTATGAGAGGTTGGAAAGAACCTTATCAACTGAATCGAATTTGCTTGGTGGGCCGGGAGTCCTGGTAAAGGGCACGCGCCTCGAAGTACGCATCACGGACGTGTTGCGTTGCCCGTTCAATACTTTTCAGAGTGCCATTCGTGATGAGGTTGTCGTCAGACGGTTTATCGCCGAGTTGGTAGATGAGTTTAGCGTATTTCTGGAGCTCTTTGAGGGCGATTGCCTTGAGTGCCTTCCGGTCTTCGCGAAGCTGAGAGTTGGAAATGGCGGACGGGGCAGAAGACTCAGCGCGGTCGTTTAAGAACATGCTGAAGTCGGCGTCGGGGGGATTGGGTCTCGGCGGCTCGTGTTGAGCTTCGAGTAAAGGAGTGGGGACTTGAGATGTGGTAGCGAGGCGTGCTGCGTCGTACCTGTATGCATGGGAGGGAATGAGTCTCCGATGACACTTGGATAACGAGGTATGTTGAATCACTTACGATAAAGTTGGTTGGTTGGCGGTTAAGAACGGCGGAGCCGGAGCGTTCGGTCTGGCGATGGGAGGTTCAGTTACAGTTTCTGGCTCGCGAAGTCCGGTGGGTGCCTGTTGGATGTCGTCGAAATAGGCGGAGAGTTGTGAGACAGGAACAGGGGTAGGCGAGTGGTAGAGGCTGTAGACGCTGTGATTGTTCGACGTGCTTTCTGGATTGTGGCTCGTGAGGCGCATGAGGCGCGCTGAAATCGCCTCCGGTTCAGGTGCACCGAACTGGAACTGAGTGGGGGGAGGCGGATTGGGTACTGGGAAGGGAGATGAAGTATTTCGAGCCGGCAGATTGGATGCGTTCCCGGGGCAAGGGTTAGGTGAGTTGCAGCCAGTGTGGACTGGTGAAAAATTAGCCGGTGGGAACAAATAAGTCGTTGGTGCGTTGCTGAACTCGGTGCGTGATTCTACAAGATGTGACGAGTGGGTGGTGTACTGAGTTTCGGTGGGATAGACCTGTTCGTGACTGCTAGTAGCTCGAAAGTGACTTTCCCGGTGACTAGTGATAGCGTGGTGGTTGGATCTCGCAGCAGCTTTATGATAGGCGAGGGACCTTGTCGGCAGAGCCGATGGGGTTCGACGAGTGACTTCGGCATTGGCGTGGAAGGGTGTAGCGGCAGAGAGGTCCCGGTGATCGGGAGTTGGGGCTGGGCGAGGTGGTTGAACGGAGTCGCCAAAGTATCCTTGCGGCGGTGTCGAGTGGACGGCGTCAGGGTTGTGAAGTAAGTGCATGACGTATGAGTCCGATTCACGGCGGTGGTGTTGGGGAACGGGGTGTTCTGACAACTGCCGGTCAGCGATGGTAGTGTCCCCTGCAGGTTGTAAGGCACCGTGGGCGGCGCCAGAGGGGGACGGGTGCCAGGATGGAGGGTATGGGGCTGGCGGAGCGTAAGCGTAAGTGGCTTGGGCCTCTGGAACGCCGATCAGCGAAGGTGTACGCGCCATCCCAGAGACAGAGCGGTAGGGATGCGACGGAGGGTCAGGACTAGGGTTGCGTCGACTTGAGGTTGAAGTGTCGAGAGACGGGTCGCTGACGGAGGGATCGTCTTTGCGAGCCAAGTTAACTACACTTTTGATTGGGGTAGTTAACTTTTGTGGCGGAAAGGGAGACTCGCCGTCGTCGACTAGCGCTAATGCAGTCTCCAAAATAGTCAACTTGCGCTGTCGTGCGAGCACGTACATGTGCTTGCAAGCGGACTTGTGTTCGCGGTAATAGGGGCAAGTGCAGTTATTGACGGAGCCCTTGCGGGCTCCGTGCGAGGGTGTAACAACAAGGTCGTAGGTAATCATCCGTGGTCGGGTGAAACTACTAATTGTGATCTGGACAAAGAGTGTTAATACGGCGTCATGTTGTTGTGTGTGATGGATCTGCTTACGGAAGTGGGCAAGTTTTCGTCGATCATGACGCCGAGGTAGTTTAGTTCAGCGTCGGTGTAAGTATCAGCCACACCTTTGGCGACATTCTGAAATTTGGATGTCCTTTGTTGACGAAATCCTAGGGTCGCTGTAATGCTGAGTTGGCGATAATCGGGTTCGACGTCCTCAACAAGTATGTGAATGACACCGTCAATGCGGGCTATGGTGGCGCGGCTGAGAAAGTTGAACTTCAAGACGCGATGATGGGATTCGTTCAAGTTGTTCGTGTGGATCCCTTGCATGGGGACGGAGCGTTCCGATATCATGCAGTACTCAGATTGGACGACCCACTGGTCGTAGAAATAGGTTACAAATGTTGGGCACAGTTCTC